TAGCCTACAATACTGCATAACTCGATCCCATGGCCCAATTTTATCCATGTTTGTTTGGCTCTGCAATTCTAACTCAGATCTGCAGAGACGGATCCACAATGCTACTTCTGAACTATGCATTCGCACACCCAAGCACCAGCATTCTACTACTGGAATTTGCTACACTAATTTCACAAAGCCTACAATGCCCCAGAAATGTTTGAACCCCTGTATGTTTCCACCAAGAATGTACAGCTGCATGTCCTTATAATAAATAATCTGGTGGAACTGATGAAGCCAAATAAACGGAATAGTCTAAAAATAAAAATCACTTTGCAGTCAAACAAGGATCACCTTTTCATTTCACATTCATTTAATATTCCAATTACCAAATTACAGGTAGTCCTCAACTTATGACCACAATTGAGCCCAAAATTTCCGTTCCTAAGCAAAACAGTTTTCAAGTGAATTTTGCCCCATTTTATGACCTTTGACTGCAGGTAAGTTAGCAACACAGCTGTTAAATGAACCAACTTCGCTTGTCTGAAGGTCACAAAAGATGATCACACACGACCCAAGGACTCTGCAACTGTCATAAATAGGAACCAGTTGCCAAATGTCCAAATTTTGATCATGTGACCAGCTACAAGGTTTCCAAACGGCTGGATTAACAATTGGCAAGTGTTACATTTTAAGATACAAAACTTGGTTTGTACTGAACCAGGAGCAAACAACCAGGAGAAATAGAATGGAACCATTTCTTTGGTCCTTGTAAGAAGAGAACTAAAACTTTGCTCAGTGTGGCGTTGGTCTTTTTTTTTTCTTCTCTTTTGCTTATGCACCTAACTTTAAATTATGGCTTAATGTTGGCTTTGACAACTTTAAGACCTGTGGAGGTAAACTCCCAGAATTCCTCAGCCAGCAACAGCAAAAAGTCCACAACGGTTGACTGAGGAATTCTGGGGGTTGAATTCCACAGGTCTTAAAGTTGCCAAGGTTGGGAAACCCTGGTTTAAGGTTAAACTACTGCATTGACAAGCCACCAATTGGCTCCCAGCTGTTAATACAATGAGAACATGGAGGAATGGCAGGCCAGCTCTCCCTGAATTTCAGAAATCACAATGAAAACAAACATTCTTTTAACATAGTTATGAAAGTCTACCATTTGGTTTCACCTGGAAGTCCTGTCCAGACAGTTCCCATGGCACGTCCTTTCTACCCCCCCCCCCCCATTCTGGGCAAGCACAAATTCAATCTTTTGAATCCCCCTAATAATAACACAAGTTTTTTCCCCAGAACTACTTACTTGGAAGAGGGCTCTTCCTTTTTTTCCTACCAGGCATTTCAATTCTGAAGTCCCAACCAGGGAAGTTCTGTCCTCTTTGAAGGGCCATCCACATGCTTCCTCTTATTCCCAGAACTGTCCCGCATGGCAAGCCATGGCTCCCAATCCCTCCTTATAACCTCCCCAACGGTTTTTGAAGTCTCCACTTAAGCATCGTTGCTTGCTGTGATTAACTCTAGGGAGGTGTCAACCCACCTGAATGTAGATTCCCCAATCATCCCTTAAAGCAGGAGTTTCCAACCTTGGCCACTTTAAGCCTTTGCTGGCTGGGGAATTTTGGGAGTTGAAGTCCTCCAGGCTTAAAATGGCCAAGGTTGGAGACCCCTTGCCTTAAAGTTTAAGCTCCCCTTCTGTTCATGGACTTCTCCTTGCTGCTCACTTTCCTATCGAATTATCATCCATCCGCAACTGACAGATGATACGATCCATCTGGGTTGGACTATTGGACCTTCCAGAGGATGGAGTAAACCTTCCTGAATGCCCAGGTGAGTTTTTTTTACTTCCGTACTTTAAAGCAGGACTCTCTAAACTTGGCCATTTTGAGCTGGGGAATTCTGGGAGTTGAAGTCCACAAGTCTTCAAAGCTGTCAAGTTTGGAGAGCTCTCCTTGAAAGCACTGACTCGTGCAAAGGTGGAACCTGGTTTTATCAATCCCATGTCTTGGTTCACGTGAGAGAAGGGGCCAGGACAGCCCGGATGAAAATGCAGCAGGCTACTTTGAGGCCCAAGTTGTTGTTATGTAAACCCAGCCGAAATTTGAATCCCTGTGAATGACCAGTTGTTTCTTCTGAAAGTGGCTGCCGGACTCTAAGAATAAAGACTGGGCAGCCACTTGTCTGGTATGGTGTAGGGCCACAATGGCGAACCTATGTACGTGTGCCAGAGGTGACATGCAGAGCGCTCTCTGTGGCCACGTCAGCAGTCGCCCCAGCTCAGCTTCCCCATGCATGTGTGTGTGTGTGTGTGTGCCTCCCGCCAACCAGCTGGTCTTCATGTCTCTGCTGTGCATTTGGCTGGGGGGGGCAGGGGGACGGGGCGCATGCACAGGGAACGTGGGTGCATTTGTGGGGGACGCACACATGTTGCATTCGGGGGATGCGCACGCTTTGGGCACTCAGTGCTGAAAAGCTTTGCCAGCCCTGGCATAGGGGTCTCCTGCTTGAGCAGGGGGTTGGACTAGAAGACCTCCAAGGTCCCTTCCAGCTCTCTTATTCTGTTAAAGGCAAGAGTGAAATATTTTCAAGTCGGAAGGTCTCGTCTTCTGGATGCAGGGGTCACCAACCTTGGGCCCTTGAAGCCTGGCGGCGGACTTCAACTCCCAGAATTCCCCAGCCAGCAAAGCTGGCTGGGGAATTCTGGGAGTCGAAGTCTGCCAGGCTTCAAGGGCCCAAGGTTGGAGACCCCTGTGAATCTGACCTTGCCCTGGCCTTGTTGGGTTCCCGACCCTCCCCTGCCTTTGGGGCCACTCCAGACCCGGGTCGCCTTCGTGAAGCTAGGCCCCACGGTGGGCTTCCCCCTCGCGCGGAGCATCCCCTCAGCGGCGGTTCCCTGCCCCCCCCCCGGGGTGGGGGGCGCTTCCCCTCAGAGGAGCCCCCGGCCGCTCTTCCTCCGGACTCCCGCTGAGGGGGCGGCGGCGGCGGCGGCCAATCCCATCCTCCCCAGCCAGCCCGAGGAGGAGGACCAGGGGCTTCCGAGGGGAAGCGCCGAGAGGGATGCTCCGCCGGGCCGCCTCCCAATTCTGGGCCTCCGGCGGGGCGGGGGGGAGAAGCAGCCCGGCACTCGCCCGCTCCCCCAGCCTCCTCGCCGCCGCCGCCGCCGCCGCCCCCACCTCCGTAGAGCCACTGCTCCTCGTCCTCCTCCGCCTCCAGCTGCACGGCCGCGGGCTCCAGGTCGGTGGCCATGGCGGGGCCGCGCGAGGGACAGCCGACCGGGCTCAGCGCCGCCCCGGCTGCGGCATCCTGCACGGAGCGCTCGCTGCGGCAGCCCCGCCGCCGGGCTAAAGCAGCGCCGCCGCCACCGCCGCCGCCATCCTCGCCTGCCCGCCTCGGCTGCTCCCCGGAGGCGCCGCAGCCGCCGGGCGCGCGCTCGCTGGCTCGCCACAAAAAGAGCCCAGCTCCGGCGGGGGAGCCGCAGCCGGCGGCGCCCAGGCCGGGAGAAGGAGGCGGCGGCGGCAGCGGCGGCGGCGGCAGCGGCGGCCCCTGCAGCGCGAGAACGGCCAGGTCCTAGCGCCCCGCGGACCCAGGCCAGCCCGAGCGCGCCGCCCAGCTGCAGCGATGGGCTCCGGGGCGCCAACGGGGCCCGGGGGTGGGGGGGGGTGGGGGCTGCAACCTAGAAGGAAGGAGAAAAGTCCCGACCGTGAGACCAACCCAGCACCGGGAGAGTTTGGCTCCCGAAGTGGCGGCCGCTCCATCCCTGGAGGCTCTTCAGAAGACACTGGGCGGTCATTTGTCCGGCATCGCCTGGGCTGGGCCAGGGTCTTCCAACTTGGTAACTTGGAGGCTTGTGGACTTCAACTCCCAGAATTCCTGAGGAACATGACTTGGAGGAGGAATTCTGGGAGTTGAAGTCCACAAGACTTAAAGCTGCCAAGTCAGAAGATCCCTGGACTCTGGGGTCTCCTGCTTGGGAAGGGGGTTGGCTAGATACAGGGGTCTCCAACCTTGGGCACTTGAAGGCTGGCGGACTTCAACTCCCAGAATTCCCCAGCCAACTTTACTCTCCTAATCCCTCCTTATAACCCCCCAGCATTTTGTTGGAAGTCTCCACTTAAGCATAGTTGCTTGCTGTGATTAACTCTCAGGTGGTGTCATCTGCCCTGAGTGTAGATTCTCCAACCACCCCTTAAAGCAGGGGTCTCCATACCATCTCTAGGGACTAATACAATTTAATGGTCGAGACCAGGTTTAGGTCTGAACCTAGATGTTCTTCCACCAGGTTCCAGCTCCCGATTCACTAGCTTTCCTTGGATCTCTAGCTGGTCAACATGGGAGTTTCACCGGAAGGCCAGTGGTCGTGGGAAGAAATTGTGAGCGCATCAGGCTAAATGTGGGAGAACCAGGTTCAGCTCTCCACCAAGCCTGAAAAAAGGTGTTGATCTTCTGCAAGTGAAACGAGACACTTCAGGCAGCGGTCGCCTTCCAGATGTTGTGGTTGCAACTCCAGTCTTTCCTCATGCTGGTTCCAGAGCCGAAGGACTACCAGCCAGGTTTATCTCATAGTTGATTAGTCTTGCACATCCCATGGAGTAATAAGGATGCCACGGACTCTTGAATGTTGACTATGGGAAGGAGGCCACTGTGCTGCCTGAAGGTTTTTCTTCAAGAACACACAAAATACTTAGGCTTGATCCTGCTTTTCCGTAGAAGGGGGGAGAGGAATAGTTTGCAGTCAATGAGCAGGATTCAAAACTGAACCAAAGCCACCATAAGCCACATTCTTGGGGGACCACACCCACAACTTTAAAGGGAAGTATGTGTGGCTAAAATATCAGTGCAGTTGTTCTCTAGATACAACTTGAAGCTCTTGGGGGTGCTGATAAAGCAAGCTTAAAGAAGTGTGCTTTTGTTTAAAAGTGAAATGTAAATGAGCTATTGCCCATGTGGAAAGCTATATATATATGTACAGCTGTATAGGTGAAAAGCCATATTATGAAATTACACGCACAACAGTTATTTAAGTATTTATTTTTTACAAAATCTTCAAGGCATGAGGTCCTATTAAAAAAAGTGGCTATTACTTCATAAAGTGTAAGGAAACATAATTAAAACATACACAGATTAACAAAGAAGCTTCATGGAATTACAAATTATGGTTATAGCCATAAACAAAAATTCACAAAACTTGCAAAGTGAATGTATTATACAACACTGTTCCCTAAACTGTTAAATATTTACACTGAATATCAACGCTTAAGATCTTATTGCTCGATGCTAATATTTTCAGGCTAATGCAATTATTTAGCATGATACTAAAATACAATATTCACAGTTAAGAATACAAATTGTGTGTTTAATCAAGACAAAATGAATGGCTAAATTTATCAGAGCAATAAATTTATTGAAAACTTCTGAATTTTGGAATGAGACAGAATAAAGAATGCTTAGAACATAATACATTGGCATGGGGGATGTCCCATTCATTTGGATTTTTGCAGAATTGTGCAAGAATTACACTGCTCTCATATTTATTTTTGTTTCCAAATTTTGCACAATAGGTAAAATTAATTACCAATCTACTCATTGGACAAAAACATGTGGAATGTTATACCCATAAACATTTTCCTACATTAGCATTCTTTGTAAATAGGATGGAATAAATTAGGAGAAAGCATTAATGTAGTAACCTACTTCTCGGCAAACTAGTTTTTTTTTGGGGGGGGGGGGAGAGCATTTATGCATATGATAAACTCTGTGACATTTTATAATAAACTCTAAATTTCTTAGGAATCAATGGTATAAAGTCAGGATTCACTGCTGCTTGGGGTTTTCCATTGTATCAAAGAAATACAATGTAAAAATGAATCCCATTCTCTGTGTTCTTTGCTTCGTTTGAACAATTCCAGATCCTTTTCTCCACCCCTCCCCCACTAGAAGCCTACAAAAGAAAAAGAAAAGTGATTTCAAATATCGTAATGGCCATCTTGAGGGGCATCATGGAAGAAGTAACTTAAAGCTGGACAGCTGAACTTTGGAAAAGAAGAATTGGTAAAGCCATGGGAGGAAATAAGGAGCCGTATCTTCAAATTTTCTACAAGCTCCCCCAATTCTGAATGCATTTTTCGGGACAGAATGACAAAAGCCACTCTTAAAGTGACTTTGCCTCTTCAAGAATTGGGCTCAGGTGTTATTTATTTTTAAGGCAACCGTTGCTCTATTTTACAGGCTTTTACATATTTATATAATCTACACCCATGATCAACACAGAACACTGTCAGAACTTCACATGCCAGACCATTTGATATGACACCTCAAGAGCTACGGGAACAAACAGCAGCTTTTCATGACTTCTTGCAGCTTAGGGTAAAGAGAAAGGACCCGTTTCCCATATTCCACCGCTGATGAATCCTGGGGCGGGAACGGGGATTCTTTTAAAGGCTTCCACTTAGCACAGTGAAGACCTTTGAAACTAGATTTGCCCAAAGCACAGAGTTTGGGAAACGGTAAAAGTGTCAGAACACGTTACCAATCAACATTGTGCCACATTTGCTGCATTAGACGCAACTTATTTGGCACTTGCATACCTGAGGAAAGATGCAAGTATGGCCCCCTTAACAGAGACAGACTGGAGATTTCTACAGAGTGTAAAAATGGGGAGTATTTTTTAACTACATAATTAACTCTACAAAGAAAAGAAAAGCTGAGCTGGAAGTCAGTCCCATTCATACCTGCGGAAGCTGCTTCCACCTAGTACGGTGAGAAGGACAGAGAATTCCTACATCTGGATTAGGAGGTATTAAGTGTTGCATTTAGACACTGATAGGATCAGAAAAGCCATAATGTTTCTTGGCACGATGTTTAAAAGAATATTGACATAAAATCTCCAAGCAAACTTGGCTTGGAAGGTGCAAGGGGCTTCTCAGAAAGTGCTGAAGACCTATCGAAGTAGACTTTGCTAGGAGGAGGGGAAGGAGGAGGAGGATCTGTGGGGTAACACTCAAATGAAGCTGCTCTTGCCTCAGTAACAACGGAACTGGAGTGTGTATGCTACACAATGTAACTCAGTAACAACAACAAAAGTAACACACATGCTGGAATAACTTTTTCAGCAATGCAGGATTTTTAACACCATTTGTAAAAGAACAGGCTCAACTTCACCGTGCGTCATATTGTCTTAAGAAGGTTTGTGTTGCTCTTCGACTCTCTTAGGAGTCTACAAAGCCTTACAGTCCAAGGTATGCAGGCAAAAAGTTCTTTGGATGTTTGTTTTTTCTTTTAATTATATACTATAGTTCTCACACGAGACATTTCCTCTGGAGAAGAAAATAGCAATTCAAGGCTCCAGTTTGCAAACTGGCGAATGTGTTGAATTTATAAATGAAGCTTTTGAGGCGATATTTCCATGGGTATTTTGAGATGCATGCACCCAGCACCAGAAGCCTTCCCATTTACCTCATCATGATGGGCAACTCTGTGCATGCATGATGTACGAAGTTACAGGAAAGATGCGTGTACTGTGATGTCCACAACAGCTGAATTAATGAGAAGGTGCCTATTTGCTCTGGAGCTCTGATGCACAGTCCTTGCTACCCATTAGACTAAACTTGCTCGTTACGGGGTTTGCAAACACAAACAACTGAAATCACAAATCTCCTCAATTCTCTTAGCTCCAATAATGGCTAAAAAGCATGGACTGAAAGAACTACAGTATCTAAACCGAGAATGTGAGTCACTGTGTATCAGGTGAATTTTGTGGTTCTTGATTTCTGGAACTCTATCCTAACTAATTTACTTCTATAATCTCCTAATTAGAAGCAAGCAACAGGAAAGGCAGCCAGAGGAGAAACTATTGGCCCACCTCCTTAGAACGGGAGGATTTCGGACTACTGATCTTGGGAGCAGGTTTTAGTTTCCCGCTATTTCAGAAACAACTTCCATGCAGGTTTTGGTGTAATACTTCATGTCTGTGGAACTGCAGGGCTGGATCCAATCTTACTAATGTTAAAAGGAGCTGCAACCCGACATATTTGAAAGAAATGTGATATTACAAGCAGAGACATGGAAATGATCTAAACACCAGAGAGACCAGCGTTTCTCAACCGTGGCAATTGGAAGACGGGTGGACTCCAACTCCCTGAATTCCAGGGAATCCTGGGAGATGAAGTCCACACATTTTCAAGTTGCCATAGTGAGAAACACTTGATAGCCTAACGTAAAAATGCAGGGCGCCAAGACGTTTTTTTTTTTTTAAAAAAATGTCGCCTTCCATCAATTACGGGGTCCCAATGCCAGATCCCCAACTTCCTTTGAATTTCTGCCAGTTTTCTGGCAGTATTGTTTATAGAGGCCTGCTGTGCTTAAGCCGGGGGCTCTGATGGGCTTCGGGGTCTTTGGGTTACCTATAAATCCAAGGAATTACTTCTTTAATTTTTTTGACAAGCGATTTCATGGAGCAAGAATGACGATGCATCTTTACGTTTGCGTAACAAACCGCACCTGAGTCCAACCTTCAGTAGCATCTACAAAGCCCGCGTGGCTTCACCGCGTGGCACGTAAGTGGCCAATACAATCAGGAACAGACGCACAACATCGATCGTAACAAATCTATGCAAAGCCATTGGCGTTGTATCGCAATTCGTAAACCTTGGCGTAATACCACACTTTATATTATACAATGAGGTAATATTTACATACCCAACCCTCCTCCTCCCCCCTCCCCCCCCCAGCAAAGAGAAAGGAAAATGAGCAACTTGGCAAATGAAAATGGACTGCTGCTGCTGCTGTTCGTTGTTAATCTCGGGCAAAGCAGATCGTCAATACAGATACGTAGGATATTAATTACTGTATGCTAACCTTGATCATTCCTGTCAAGAATTCAAAGTGCCTGAAGATGCCATTTTTCCTCCCTTCTTGGTGCCCTTCAGATGTGTCAGGACTACAGCCTCCAGAAGTCCCAGTCAGCACACCTGGAGAACCCTGGTTACATAGATTCAGGGAGCGTGTTTGCAAGACTGAGTTTTGGAAATGAATAAGGCAGCATGTCAGAACAAGACTACAAGCAGCACTGATATAAGATTATCTCCATAGTGACCATGTTCATCAAGTATATTAAGCCTCGGGAGCGCACAAACAAGCCTTAGCATCGCAACCTTTCTAGAAAGTGCAAACAGTTTTCTTCTTTAAAAAAAAAAAAAAAGTAACGCGGCAATGAAGATACTCTACCGACGAACACTTTTTCAAACACAATATCAGAGCAAAGGTAAATCTTCTCTTCCATATCCCTTACAAGGCACTACAGGTAGGACGTGACAGGTAACATTGAAAGGTAATACTGCTCCTCAATCGGGTCGAAATATAGGGTATTTTGGTAAGAATTCTATGAGTATTACCTAAAAAAAGGGAGAAACACAAACGACACATTAACCAATTCGGCTCTTCTGTGAACGTCAGAACATTTTAGAAGTTGGGGTGTGTGGCCTGAGGGTGGGGAGTTGCTTTGTGCCACGTTGGGGCTCACCTCTCTCAGTCTACTTCAGAAAAGGATCCTGTTCCCTCCAGTTACACCTGGGATCCTGGTAACCCTGGAGCTTCTAACCACAAGAAAACGGTCTCCCCAAACACTGAAAATTCAAGATTATCATTCAATACAGACTAGGTTAGAAAAAGGGGGCGTGGCTTCTCTGATCAGAGTTTGATGAGATAGTTTTCAGTTGCAAGAATAGGTTGGCTTCCAGGTAGTTCTTTGTTTTCCATGTGTTTACCTTCCCCTAGGTGGCACCAACAACTCAGGTTTAAATCTTGGGATAGATACTTCCTCGCTCAGGTTAATAGCTCAGCTCCTTAATATGATCTAACGGGGAAGAACGGGGCCTATTGATCATCAAAAGAGCAAGCCTCCCCCCAAAGGCAAGATTAAATCTGTTTAACAATCTGCTGAAATTTTGGACTGGCTACTGATGGGAGCCCAGTGTGTAATATGTAGCTCAGGTTCAGTGGAACCGATTCCACTGGAGAAATTTTCTGTCCGTGAGAACATTAATCAATGGAATAGCTTGCGCCTCCTGGAGCTGTGGATGCTCCATCAGTGGAGGTTTTCAAGAAAAGACTGGACAGCCGTTTGTCTGGGATGGAATGAGGATTCCTGCCTTGGGCAGGGGGTTGGGCTAGATGACCTCTGAGGTCCCTTTCGGACCTAGGATTCTATGTTCTAGTTCAATTCAAAGTTTCTTAACGTTTTCTTTTTTGCATAAAAAGCAGCAAGTAATTTGACACAGAAGATATCTGAGCACATTTTCATAAAAATGTGGGGAAAATCTTGACTCATCCATCCAGAATCTCAAGAGTGCTACAATACTTTTTCACCATGTTTTGATTACAAGTCATTAACTGAAACCCACAAATCTAAAGACAAGTGATGGGTCCTTCAACAGCCTTCAGGGCCATGGTGATATTTTCCTCTCTATATTCCAGAATACTTAGGGAACAGCAAACAAGCAAGAGGAGACTAAGTAAGTCCATCCAAAAGGCGTTTATGCTTTAAAAATAGAAAACAGGCTGTTGTATATATAAGCTTGAACCCTGCACGAGATGCCATCTGAGACGAGGCTGGGATCTGGCCTATAAAAGTTCAAATCAAAGCTATGGACAAGTACTTATTTTAACCGGTAAATAATACTAGCTAGTTTAGCGGTATTTATTCTGAAAAAAACATTTTGTATTTTAATAAACTAAGATAACAATGGACAATGACCAACACAGTGCAGACTAAATCGAAAGAAAATCAGCTGGCACTTTTGACATTATTCAGGTTTCCTTGTGCCTATGTGTCAACCAAATTCACATAGCTGCCGTGCAAACAAAGAACTGTGCGGCAGACAGAAGGCCTCGTGTATAAAGACACTTAACATTTATGTTGGAAACATGAACTTTATCATATTGGTGGACATGTAAAAAAGCTACTTATTCAAAGGACTTTAAAGATTAACGTAAGTGAGACCAGAGATCTTTCGTTTAGGACTGATGGACGGAAGTGGCGGGGAAAAGTCATGGAACTATGTTTTTGTAATGACAGCTGCCATGAGATTATTGTATGCTCAAAGATGGAAACTTTTAGCACTATCCACAATGGAGGAATAATTGGTGAAGACGAGGAAACTTACTGTGGTGGCTAACTTGACTTATTTAGATTGTTTAAAAAAAGACAATATGTTTATTTCTGATTGGAAAACTCTTATGGACTTTCTGTGTATAACAGAAAAAATGAACTTATTATGGTTTCTATATTATAAAAAGAAGAGAGATATGACCATAAGCAAGAGGTCAATTTAAATTTTTAGCTATAACTGCTACAAAGAAGAAAGTTATTTCTTGATATCTTTTTTTCTACTTTTGTATTACTTTTGTCCCCTTACTTCTACTTTTAGCTTTCTCTTTTTGATTTCTTTTTCTTAAATTAGTTAAATTAGTTTTTATCTTCCCTCCTTAAAATATTTAATAAAAATTATATATTTAAAAAAGGGGAAGGGGAGCAGGAGAAGACATCTGTTTCTTACTGTACTGCATATCTGAACAGAACTCAACTAAAACCTGGAAAGATAAAAACTAACTTGGCTTTGATTTTATAAGTTGGTGTATCTGCTGATTCCATTTTCAGATGAATGACTGCGCTATGCTAGGTATAATCACGTACACATTCCCAGAAAGTAGAATTGTATCTCCAGTCACTAAAGACAAGAATGAATTAATCAGAAGGGGAAAACGATATGTTGAAACTGATACAGGTAGTCCTCGATTTACGACCACAATTGAGCCCCACATTTTTGTTGCTAAGTGAGAAATTTGTTAAGTGAATTTTGCCCCATTTAACGACCTTTCTTGCCACATTTGTTAAGTGAATCACTGCAGCTATTAAATGGCTGTTAAGTGAATCTGACTTCCCCATTGACTTTGCTTGTCAGAAGGGGATCACATCACCCCAGAACACTGCAATGGCCATAAACGCGAGTCAGTTTCCAAGCGTCTTAATCTTGATCACGTGACCGGGGGGGGGCAACACAATGGCCATAAGTGTGAAAAACAGTCATAAGTCATTTTTTTCCAGTGCTGTTGTAACTTCAAATGGTCACTAAATGAACTCTTGCAACTATTATAAGTTGAGGACTACCCGTACTGATATCTTGGACAATACTTACATATTCCATCATATTGCTAGTTTCGCATTTCCGTTTGCTCAACTTCCAATGCAAGCCAAGCTTAAAGAAGAAAAAGATACCACATTACCTTCACAAAAAACACGCTTTAGGCTGACAAACAAGCCCCTGCGTCCCTTTGACTTATTCATTACAATTCTCCTGTATGTGCTGCCCGGCACAAGGTTATTTCCGGCTTGGCTGTAAATGTAACACTTCACCCTCTGAATCAGCCTGCCTTGAGATCTGGAGTGTGAGTGCAAAGCAGGATGGAATTCTAACGCTGCATATCCGAAAGACATTAATTGGGGAGGGGCGGGAGGAAAGCCCCACTATCTATGTGTGGATTTTTCTCAACAAGAGCCACGTTAGCAACGGCAGTCAGTCAGCTAGGACAGCTCACCTCCCTAACATAGCCAGATATGAGCAAGCAGCTGGTTTCCATCCCTTCAAATTAAGACATCTGGCAAATAAATGAATCGAAACAACATCAGCTTTTTCTACTTCTTTTAGTTAACCAGATGACCACCCACAGATCGGAGTCCCGGGATTATGAATTACTAATCAAAAGAGCTGCGATTTTGCAGTCCATACAGAATATTCTTTGATTTGTTAAGTGAATATCTATTATTTCCTAGATATTACCTTGTGATATAATCTGTTATTTTCCCATTCTAACAACTTCTGAATAGATCTTCTTGTCTAAGAAAAAAAAACAAGTTCGCATTAGTTTTTTTAGTACCGTCACTGACCAGATTCATACATAATTTTATAAAAGGGTTTGGAAAAGTTAGGTAAAAATACATTAAGCATTAAGCGTAAGCAGGGGGGGATAAAATGGAGCAAACCTGTGTATTATAAATACAAATATCTAACTACGGAATATTAAACACTTAAAATTCAGTCCCAAGGTTGTAAAGCTGAATACATTGTTGAGGTGGCCATTTTTACCTTCCCTGTGTTGTGGGTCTATATCAGGGTTCCCTAACCTTTCTGGCTTGGTAGATTTGGGGGGGCGGGGAGTAGATGGCTCCCCACAAGTAGCAGGAAAGCATGTGTGCCCACTGCTCCTGCAAATAGAGGAGGATTAGATTAACAGAGTTGGAAGGGACCTGCTCCCTCGCCAAGGCTTGCTGGTGGGCTGCAGCCCGTGGATTGGGGACCCCTGGTCTACATGATTTGCTTTTATATTTATTAAAACGGATTAAGATTTGTTGGTTTTTACCTGGTTGTTGTTTGCTGTCCATTCAGTGAAATGAGCAGCTACGCAGGTAGTCCTTGAATTATGACCTCAACTGAGCCCAAAATTTCTGTTGCTAAGCGAGACATTCACCAAGTGAATTCTGCCCCATTTTATGACCTTTCTTGCCACAGTTGTTAAATCAATCACGGCAGTTGTTAAGTTAGTTAAGTTAACACAACTGTCTGGTTTCCCCGTTGACAGTACTTGTCAGAAGGTATCAAAACGTGACATTAGGACCCCAGAACACGGCAAGCTTCCCAAGTTTGATCCCGAGAGCAAAGGGATGCTGCGATGGTTGTAAGTGTGAAAAATGGTCATAGGTCACTTTTTTTTTTCAGTGCCGCTGCAACGTTGAACGGTCACTAAATGAACTCTTGTAAGACCTTGGCAAGTGGCTCAGGATGGTTGCAGGGTCCCAGAGTTGTGCGATCACCTATTGCGACCTTCTGGCAAGGAATTCATCTTGACCCCTATGACCCTCTTTCATAGATGGACACATGGACACACACACACACACACACCCCAGGAAAAAAAAACCCTTGGTCTGGGCAACTCATAAGCCACTCAGAAGAGGGTGAAGAGCTGCACGGCTGCTTGGCACACGTACTCTTTTATTAAGGCAGACGGCAGGCCAAAGGCTGCATCCCAGTGTGCAGCAGCAGCATAAACAGCCACAGAGGAGCCATTTCACAGTGATGGGCAGATTCTTCCTTAAACATGCATTCACATGACCGATGCTGGTCTTGAATTCTTCAGGGGCAACCTGCAAAAAAAAAAGAGAGAGAGAGAGAGAGAGAGAGAGAGAGAGGACAAGTGGTGACTCCACATTGGGAACGAAAACCTGTATCTAAATATGCACACCTATCTCACGATTTGATTTCTATGGAGATTCTCCGTCCTCCAGACACCCCCCCCTTTTTTTAAATAAAAGTTTTGTATTTGTTTTTTACACATCTCTTCATGTGAGCAACATGATTCCAGATTGCAACCTTGGCCCCGATTGTCCCAAAGGGGCTTCCCCCCCACCCACCCCGAGGCCACTGGACTTTCTTGCTTTTCTTTGAAGATGTTTCGCTTCTCATCCAAGAAGCTTCTTCGGGTGAGAAGGGAAACGTCTTCAAAGAAAAAAAAAACAGAAAGTCCAGTTCCTTGAAAAAGCACCTTTGGGATATCCCATGATTTTTTTTTAAATTTAAGACTACTATTTATTTGTGTCAATTTTTATCAATCTAATTTTTTTATGCTTAGTTATTTTTTGTCTGTCACCTGCCCACAAATGCCCTAAACGTTTGGAATCTAACCTTGGGTGAACCATACTGGGGATGCATTAACGTAAGTTGACAGAACAGAAGCATAACTGAAATAGAATCTCCATGACTTCTTACTTGAATGGGAATAATAGGGTGATGAAAAGAAAGCAAGAGGATCCTCTCAATATCCTTTTGGTGACACGATGTTAATTCTTTTTCTTCTCACTATCCTGCTCTCTATTCGATTACAGATCCCTTCAATAGAAATCAAGGATCTTAAAGGTATAACTATTAAAATTATATTGCAGTCAACTCCTCACTTTTTTGCAAACCACATGAACATGCCATAACTTTTAGCAGACTGTTGGAGTTCATGTCATAATAAATTGGTTGAGCTTTGAGGCCTTTTTACAGCAATTCAGATGGGAACGTTTAACTCTTCCATTGATTGGATGGGTTTCAGTTTTCCTCGGCTGCCCCTCCACATTAGATGGCAAACGATACACAGACTGCGCACATTCAGCCATTCTTGACGATGGATATTTTTCACGAATCCCCTTCAGGATAGAGGGGAAAGACACAACTTTTTCCATCCACCTCCAAATGGAGTAAAAAAAAGCAGAAAGTTGAGAATATTTGTAGTTCAGGTTGCAGGCTTTGGCAGGAGGCTGTTCTCCAAGCTTGCTGTTTAGTTCCTGGACATTTTGCTACCAAACTAGGTAACAGCTTCAGGGGTGAAGTGTCTTGTTCATTTAAATAGGTCCTGGATGGCCGCTTGGTCTTCAAACAGTCACAAGACCTACAGACCACCCAGGACCTATATAAACAAACAGGAAATTTCACCCCAAAGTCCCTGCTGACAACCTTACCTAGTTTGCTAACAAAACATCTGGGAGCCAAGCAGCAAACTAGGAGAACAGCCCCCTGCCAAAAGTGGAATGGCCGGAATAACCTAAAAATTCCTCTCTATTTAAACTGTTTTCAAAGTGAAAAGAACGAGGAAAAAGCAGCAAATCAGTAAGAAAAGTCCTAACATGCTTTTATTTCAGGAAAGCTTTTCTTTCACCTAAAACCTAGAATTATCCAGACCCACTGGGCCATTTTTTTTTTTGAATTCTGCTTCTTCTACAGCGTCTCACAATGCAGCCGTGGAGGGGCCCACACAACAATCTGTCCATATGAACAGCCATTTTCTGCATCCTCTGCACAAACATTTTATGCTACAAGAATTTCAGAAACGACAAAGACTGCCTTCCTAATTAGCAAAGGGAACTACAGCTATTTCAACATGCAAAAAAAAATGCCATGGTTTTTTATTTTTATTTTTTTTTGTTCGTGAGGCTTTTTAAGCATCCTGTGATGCTGTAAATAAAATGCTATTGTTCTTTCTAAAAAAAAAGAAACCCCGAGCAAACCAGGTAAGGCCCCCGAGTGTGAGGAGAGCTCCAAGAGAACAGCTGCATTCCAAAGAGGAGTTTCCTTTTTGCCAACCAGCCATAAAAGGGACGGAGGGCGGCGGATGGAAGGGTCATAATGTTTTACAACAGCAGGCAAGGGAGGAAGTGATCGCCCGAAAGCCAGCAGGCCTGCTCTGCTTTCTTTGACCAGGGTGATCACAGCCCTATCCATCACACCTTCTCCTGAATCCTAATAGCAAAGGGAGGTTTTATGACTTGCACTTCCCTGCATTGCTCACTAAAGCCTGCATTGTTCCAAGATCAGAGCAGGAAGCTGGGCTTTTCCCCTTAAGGAGGACCAAACAGCACCAGGTGGCAAAACTATGGAAGTCCCATTTAACACCATATTGAAAGCTCAACGTTTTTATCAATAAGAAAACCCCCTGTGAACAGGCAACTCTAAACTAGGCAGTCAGTCAGTGCTGAAAGCTTACAGACGATTAAAATAATTAAATGGACAGAAAAGGATTAGGGACATTTGGACTTTTTCAAAGTCTGTGATATGCTTCAGTTGAAAAAAGCCACGTATTCTTTTTCCAAGAAAGAGTATGTCTTAAATTTCTTATTACCACCATCTTCAATAATAGAAAAATAACAACCAGCATTCTGAAATACAGGGACCAAAGCAAGGTTATACTGTATTTTGGGCTTCCACTTGAGAGCAAATGACTTAATTCAGTTGAATTCTCACTTGAGAGAAGGAAACGCTTTCGGGTACGAAGATCTTAAGCTACTGATTCCAGAACTGACTCTGAATTCGACCTAGAATCAGAGTCTGACAATCGGTTAAGTTCTTCCCTGAAACGGGTTCTTTAAACAATGCTATACAATATGCTCAGCCTGGCTGCCACCACTGAACTATGTTTAATGTTGCATCAAAATGCCTGGCTGGGGGAGAGCTGTTGCCAAGCAGAACAGATGCTACTAAGAGAATATACACAAAGGCACAAACTTTGTTATCTCTGACCTAGTTTTTACAAGATTAAAAATAGCCAGAAACCTCAGTCGCTGCCCTCAGTCAGTTTATGTCACGTTCCAAATTCTGAGTAGCTTCCAGAGTTTGGACAGGAAGTGTTGTTTTCTGGGTAATGGAGATGTATTAGAATGTACAGGTAGTCCTTGACTTACAGCAGTTTGTTTAGTGACCGTTCAAAGTTACAACGGCATGAAAAAAAGTGACTTACGACTGTTTTCCATACTTGTGATCCCTGCAGCTTCCCCGTGGCCATGCAGTCCGAATTCAGGCCCTTGGCAACTGGCTCATACTTATGACGGCTGCAGGGTCCCAGGATCATGCAGTCACCTCAAGCGAAGTCAATTGGGGAAGCCAGATTCATTTAACAACCTTGTTACCAATTTAACAATGGCAGTGATTCACTTAACAACTGTTGGTAAAGGTTGTAAAATGGGGCTCAGTCACTTAACCAACGACTCGCATAGCAACAGAAATTCCGGGCTTCATTGTGGTCGTAGGTCGAGGCCTGCCTGTATAATATGGGGGAATCTTTGCACAGTCTTTGGGGATGATGCCACTGCCCACCAATGGGCCCCTCTGCATAAGGCAGACACACCCGTCAAATACACTCCAGCCAACGTTTCTCCCTAAATACTCTTTCAAGGTAAATTCAGTCAATCTGGCAAAGAACCTCCCACCCTGGTTGCCACATCAAATGAACACAACTTAGCCACCTCTAATAGAGATGGTGTCAAGACAATAGCTTCGAGTCTACACTGACAAGGGGGTGATCTGATAGCCAAATGGAGCCTAAAGAGTGAGTCACTCTGTGTGTATGTGTGTGAGAGAGAGAAAGAGAGAGAGAGAGAGAGAGAGAGAGAGAGAGAGAGAGAGAGAGAGA